CAGGATGAGTCATGTTTATGAAACAATACATTGACACTTGATCCTTTCTCTTTCTCACTGCCAGACATTTGCTAAACAGCAGAATGACACAGGCCATCTCTCTCTCTCTCTTTATCAGATAAAGGTTGGTTTATACATGTATATGGTGGTAGGCTTAAAGGCTTGATGTACATGTACAGTGTACCAGTAACTTAGTGTTAAAAATTACATTACATTGACTTTAAGTCATACTTGTAAACATACCGTATAGCAGAATCACCAATATTAAAACCACCAATCATTAATGCGCATGCTCAGTAATGCACGTGTACACAAAAATCGCAAAATTAAAAACCGCTGATTACAATTTTACAGCAAAATTGCCAAAATAAAGCGCTGCAAAAATAAAGTGTTATATACGGTATATACCTCACTTCCCCCCTCTGTCTCTCTCCCTCTGTCTCACTCCCACTCCCAATAAAAAACAGTTATGAAGTGTTGGACTACAAATGCTCAAAAAATGTCTGCAAAGTATAGAAAACGACAACCACAACTGAACCTGTTATTACAAATATATACATTCTCAAATAAAAACAACAATTATAAAGCCCTTAAATACATAAATAATACCAACACAACATACATGTACAATGTATGCTGTCTGCTACAAAGCACTCTTAAGGATTAATATGCGTACCTTACTCTCCCCGAAATAATGTAAGTAAGTAGATCCAGTCACTTTAAAGAAGTAGGTCTTCCATTTCTTGCCCTTGTACATCTGAAGTCATGCAGTGCTGTTCTAGTCTGGGCTGGGGCCCAGACTAGTGCTGTTCCTTATTGAAGACTGACATGACGGTCAATCCTTGATATATGAAGAGTATGAAGGAAGTGTTGGAGGGATTGTGGTAAGGACGCAGCCTCTAGCTGGTGGCTGAGGCCCTGGGAGATAGTCTAGTTACAAGCAAAACCAAGAAGACTTCTTTATGAAAAGCAATGCAGTTATTAATCATAATTAATTATGAATAAAATCAAATTTTTATTTTATTTTTATTGAAGTAGGCCATGCCCCTCTTCAAAATGTCGTCTGATTGAGCTATTGTCACGGCTACCTGAGCGTCTACCACTACCAGAGACAGTACAACGAGGAAATTAGCTAGTCTCGAGTAACAGGAGCCTGGAGTTAAAGAGACATAATCATAACCAGGTGCAGGAGGCTAGGTAACTAGTAAATACATTTGAAATGTAGCATGAGGTTGAACACATGATGAGGTGTATCATACATTTACATGCATTGGTGCATTTATAATGAGACGGGGCATTAATTAAGGAAGGTGGGCATGTAGACTCTAATGAAGGGTGGACATTATCATTATCAATTTTTATTAATTGTGCATGTACATTCAAAAATGTGTATTTTCATCTTGATTTTTACAGCCAGCTATACTATTTCCAAGTCAGAGATATGTACGCGTTTACGTCACTTCATATTAAACATTAGCGTGATGTTCCAGTTAGACGTGAAAAGCAAGAGAGAAGACTGTCAATAATTATGTTGAACCCACCTCCAATTGTTTGTTAGTAGGTAAATTCATCAGTTTCTCCATGAGACTTTCATCAGCTGTTATTGGGTACCATAGTCCATAGATTCCATTTCTTCAAACATGGCAAGGTTTGAATTTTTGTGTATTGCATTTCCTGATGCATATACATGCTCTTATGTTGTGTAGGAAGTTTGAGCTGATACAATCAAAATTAGATTTTTTTACAAATTTTTGAATTTGCTCCAAAATTGGGCAAAAGTACAGGGTCATGGGCCAAATTTCACCAAAAATGAAAAGGACAGAGTTTTTTATTTTTATTATTTTTCCTGATACCTATACCTGTACTTATGTTGCGTAGGAAGCTTGAGCGGATTCCGATCAAATTTGGATTTTTACTGAATTTCAACGTATATTAGAATACATGTACTGTAGTCACCTAATGAAGGATGAGGACATTTTGTATTTCTGATATTGTATTTATACTTGCTTGTATTGTAATACTACTAAAGTACAACCCATGATAGACTTTTACTAATCTGTGCTTTATAAAGCAGTATGTAGTCTTTGTTTTGTAGGAGGTTACTCATTGAAGATCGGTTGCTACCACACACTCCAGCATCAACCAAAGTACAGTATACATGTATATTATTAATTGCATATAATGATCATGTTTTAATATTGTATTTATAGCAATGGTCATTGAGAGGTGGTAGATGGGGAGATGAATCACCAGATCTTTGGACAGATCTTATACTGACTGGGTAAGTACTTACATGTACACGTACATGTACATGTATTGTACATATACTGTACATTCACACGTACATGTAACAGTGTCAGGGTTTTCCACAGGGTTCTGCTCACAAATTGGGCCAAAGACCCTGTAACAATTTTTAAAATACATACATGTACATATACATATAAAACTACATGTACATGTATAATATGAGAGATTCTTCTTTTCTGGTATTATCGAATTTTATCTCTTCCCTCCCTCTCTATTAGTCATTTAGATGGAACTGTTAGATTCTGGTTCTGTAGATCAGGTAATGCATTATTATCAATTTCATTTTTATTCTGATAGTCTGGGATATTTTTGGTATTTTCACTACTCCATGAAGATGTATACATGTAGCTTAACGTGTATGTACATGTACAATGTACATTTCATGATGGAGCAAAGAAATGCAAAATCTGCAAAAAGATTATAGTCTAAATGTTTCTCAGTATAGGGTAGTTAGTAAGGCAGTAGTGTTACTAAGTAGGATTGACCCCACTTCAAGATGGCTGCTATGACTTTTGCAGCCTTGCTATACTTTAATACATTGTACATGTACATTTTACGTAAAGTTTGTTTTTGATTTTTTTGTTATCTCTATTATTATTATTATTATTATTATTATTATTATTATTATTATTATTATTATTATTATTATTATTATTATTATTATTATTATTATTTATTATTATTATTATTATTATTATTATTGTTATTCT